AAATTGTAAATTGGTCCAAAAGGTGGTTGTGCTCTTTCTTGCAATTCAATGGCACAGTCATAGGGTCGATGCTCTGGCAGCATATCAGCATTCTTCTTTTCAAAGACATCTTTGAATTCTTCATATTGCTTTGGAATAACCAAAGTCGGAGTTGCATCTTCTCGAGTCGGAGTTGCGAAGATGACAAGAGGTATATTTTGCTTGGCTTCCTTCATGAAAGCCCTTGCACCTATAAACAAGGATTTGTTTCTAGACATTGTCTTGGCAGATTCCACCTTCAAGGAGTTTGTTGAAAATGTCACTTTCCGCAACTTCCAATCTATCAATGGATTATATCTATCAAGCCAAGATAGTCCCAAAATGATAGGACATGAAGGGGTCTTGATAACATTAAACTCAATATTGCTCTCATGGTTTTTAAGACGTACCTTCAATGGTTTAGTTTCATGGATAACATTGCCCGAAGACAATGGTCGTCCGTCTATGACTTCTACATGGACAGGCTTAAGTTTCTTTACAAGAGAAATATTGTGAAGCTTGGCAAACTCTTCATCTATAAAGCAAGCGGATGCACCCGAGTCTAATAAAGCATCGACTTGTAGTTCTTGAATACCCAGATGTAAAGGTACCATAAAACAATCTGAAGGTTGAGCTGAGAGAAAGGGACCTTGATTAATTTTGGATGTTGAGATGTCCAACCGCACGGTCCCTATTGTGGCTGGGCGTCCTTGTTTTCCTGCATGCTTGTACTCCTGAGTCTTGTTGTTTGAGGCTTCTGTTTCTTCCGACAATCTACAGCTTTATGGCCCGCTTCTCCGCAATATAAACACAAGTTTTGTTCAAACCGTCGCTTCCTTTCCTCAGCTGTGAGGGGTTTGAAACGTACCGCATCAATTTGCATGGGTTCAGGATCTGTGGAGTGATTCTCTGGACTTTTTGAAAATGTAGCAAATGCTCCATCATTTCTCCAGCTTGATCGTCTTTCTTGTCGTAATTCAAAGAGGCGGTTGTCACAAATAATTGCCTGAGATATAAGTTCTTCTAAAGTATCCGCCTTAGGCATGGTGATCAATAAGTTCTTGACATCATCTCTCAGTCCATATCGAAATCGTGTCATGAACGCCTTATCATTCCAATCAAGATCACATGTAAGCTATTGAAATTCTGCAGCATAGATTGCAGCAGAACGTGATCTTTGTCGCAGATTTTGTATCTTTCTTTCAGCCACTCTTTCTCGATCGCTATCTCCAAACGCAGCAGTAAGTCTCTCTATGAAAGCCTCTAGGTCGTACAATATTGGAGAATCCTTCTCCAATAGTGGAGCAAACCAAGAGCGAGCATTTCCTGATAGAAGAGTACCTATGAAAGCAACCTGGGTAAATCCATTCGGATAACTAGAAGGATATAGGCATAGGTAAAGCCGTACTTGTTGCACAAAACCTCGGAAGTTAGCTCTTGTTCCGTCAAACTTGTCTGGCATACTCGCTTTTGGTTCTTTCGTACTAATCCTTGAAGTATCTATAGGGGTCGTATGTGACACATGTCTTGCTTCTCTTAGTCGAATAATCTCTTGTTGTAGGCTATGAATTTCGCGTCTAGCTTCTTCTGTCACTAGATCAATTTGAGGTTCTTTACTTGGATTGCGAAGAAATGCAATCTCCTTTCGTACACTATTCATAAGAGCTTGAAGATCTGCAAGAGTTGCCACTCTATTGTCTACTTGTGGAGATGCACTGTCTATGACCTGGTCTACTTCCATATTTAGAGAATAGATGGAAAAATTTTGAGAGAAGAAGAAATTGCTAAATCTCTTGGAGAAAATTGTAGCACTACCTATCACTAAAACCTACTCGGAGAAAAGAAAAAAAAACACTAAACGATTTCAGTTTTAGAGGAGGGTAATCCGCAACCTCTAAAAATGCCTCAATGCTTTCGAGAAGGGGGGTAATCCGCACTCTATCAAGAAGGCAAACCTCTGAAATCGATGTTAACAGTCTTTTCTATTAGCTATGCTAAACAAAAAGAAGGAATTAATATCAATCCAAGAGAGGGTAATCCGCAACCCTTAGAACGCTCAAGTATCTCCAAAGAAAGGGGTAGTCCACTCTCTGCTTCAAAGAACTAAGCTCTGATATTGTGATTGAGAAAATATCAGTTTAGAGGAGGGTAATCCGCAACCTCTAAAAAATGCTAGTATACATTCAAGTAGAGGGGTAATCCACACTCTACTAAGAAAGAACTAGCTCTGATATCTCAAGTTAGTGTAGTCTCGACAAACTGTCACGGACACAAAATACAGACTTGAAATCTAATAAGAAGTTCAAGAAGAAGTGGCAGAACTAGATTAAACAGATGAGTACAAGAACAACACCAGAAAGGTGAGCTAGAACTCCAAGAGATGTGTTGTCGAGACTGAAGAACTCTTCAGCCTCGACTCCTATATATACTACTGGCCTATGGTTCTAAGGAAGTACATCAAGAAGCTTCCCAAGAACTGTGAAGCTTCTCGAGCAACTACCCAAGAGCTAGGAAGCTTCTCAAGTAACTTCCTAGAATCTACTAGAATATTCTAAGAATCTTCTAGAGCCTTCTAAGAGAATCTTTAGAGAATCTTTAAAGAATCTTTAAGGAATCTTTGAAGAATATTTTAAGAGAATATTCAAGGAATCTTCTGGAAGTTTCTAGAGACTTCTTTCTAGAAGGTTCTAGAAACTTGTCTCTAGAAAGGTCTAAGGACTATGTCCCTAACAACTATGCAACTCTCAAATTGAAATTCAAAAAGTTGATTATCACATTTTATAGCATAGTCAATTACATGAGTCAATGTTTGAAGATTAGATAAATTGAACATCAATTTCTTTACTTCATACTATAATCTATAGAAAAATTGGTTAATAAGTGTGATATCAATTTATTTAAAATCAGTTATAAGTTATTAAAATTGTGAAATATATAATGTTACTAATTAATTGCATTGTTGCAAAAATACAAATCTTGTTAGTTGCAACTCAAATTACATCAAGTTTTCCATATATAGATCAAAATTCTACCAAAAAAACCTCCAAATTATCTAATATTAGATCTTTTTGTTTAAGAAAAGATAAAAACCATGATAATATAGAATTTATATGTATTAAATTCTTAGCCAATATAATTTTACTTGCTATAATAATTTATTTAGAAATATAATTATATTACACCAAAAAAAAGATATAAATTGAAGAAATAGAAGTTTTATATATTCACACTAAAAAATAATTGATTGATTTTTAAACCAAATCAATTTATAAAATGCAACACAAGAAACTATTATAAAAGATGGAATTAATTCATCTTTTTTTTAGAATCTATTTCAACTACTTCCAAAAGAAAACAACCTACATTTAAAGATAAAGTATCATAAATATACCATACTTATGTCTAAATTTATATAATAATTTCTTAGGCTGTACACCTTTAGTGATTATATATTTTTGATAGCTAAGGATATCAATCTTGATAAATATTAAAAATCTCCAATAATCCATAGCCTTTATTTCTTTCTTCTAATCTCTAGTTAATCTTATAGTCTTATTAATAAAAACGATTTATTAATTTTTACCAACCTTTTTAAAATTTCTCTTCTTATAAAATTGGTATCAATATTTAATAATAGAAAAAATATATTAAAAGTAGAATTGTACTATAGGATGAATTTTACTCAACTTGAATATTAAAATCTTCAAATAGTTCCAAATACTTGTACAATAAGTATTATATATATGTCAATATGTAATTACAATATTTTTATATAAAAGTATTTAAGAATCATATATCTAATAAGAACAACTCACATTGAATCAACAATAATATGAATTAAAAAAAATAAGAAATAAAAATCATCAATAAAACAAAATAAAATAAGAAAAAGAGACTCCACTTACTCGAATGTTTCTACAAGAATAAGTGCCATTGGAGCAATGTCTCCACTCACCAAATGAAAATGGAGAAAAAGAAAGAAACCCTAAGCAAAAGGGGGTATTGGTGCAAAAGGGAGGTGCCTAGCGTTTCTTTCCTACTTGCCTGGGAACCACCAAGATCCTCTCACATGGATGAGATTGATAACCATGCACAATGAGACATGGTCAAGGTATCAATACATAGTAATGGTATCATACAAAGTCAAGGTATCAGAATGTATTGAGAATGTCAAAGAGTTATGTTCGAAGTATAGTTCAAACAAAGAGTAAATTTAGAATCCATGCAAAAAGGCACTTCAAACACATCACCACTATATTGTATATATTGTTTTCTCTTATGTAATAAATTTTGTTATGTACCATTGCATTGAGATTTTAACACCCTGTTCTCTCCCTTCTCGAGAAAATGAAAAAACTCTCCAAGAAATTCTCAGGGCTAAGAAGCAAAGTTCTACTGGTCCGTCATGAGGAAAAGTTGAAAAATATGGACGTAAAATACACGATAAACTTCGCAGCGGGAGAGTAATGTGGAAGCATCAAAGTGGATTACACCATGAGCTTAGCGGCGGAAGACAAACCTCCGAAACGCAGAATAGATATCTTCACCAGGAAACCGCAACACGAAGTGACCAATCCTTAACACAGCTCCGTCGCGAACAGCACAACATGAAACCGACGTGCTCACGGAGGATGTGTGCACTAATCAATATCGACAAGGCGACTTAAGAGAATTTAGAGAGGGAAGAGCCAGTCAGTGTTGGAACTTCACGTGCTTGGATATCGAGATCGTATACAAAGATTGAGTGTGCAGCGTCGTCGCAATCAACGATCACTTCATGAAGACGAGGCTTCGGAATCAGCCAAACTGCTGCGCTTGCCTGTCCTATCACCAAGGAAACCACCTACTTCCATGATGAATGCAGCAACGGATGGATAGCATTCATCCTAGACCTCAAGGTGGAAGCGCGCTCGATTTCAAGCTGGGAAGAAGGCGACCGATGGCTTGGCCATAGCAGCGAATTCATGTTCATGAAGGTGTTGTTGAAGATTGCAAATGTTCGATTAGTGTTGCGTTTTTTGTAACGTAGTTTTGCTATGTTGTCCCGCTTGATGACTCTCTAGAACGGGGAGGGAGGGGAATTAGTCGGGCGGAGTTTGAGTCCCATGATTCATTTCTGAGTTGGATATTTATCTTCTATGGCTTGAATAGTGAGAGATTTTTCGTGCAGTGCGACATAAGGAAGAGGGGTGAGGTTTTGGTAGCGTGAGGGCTTTCGGTAGATTATTATTTCAAAGATTGAAGCCATTTATTATGTACATGAAGATAATTTTGGCTGGGCGGATTGAAATGCTGCCGAAATGAGTGTTGAGGAGTTTACGACGTGTGTTCTGGATGAGGTGCTTGAGCAGTGTATAATATGTGACACCACGTTGTATTCGTGTGTTGAAAGGGGGTAGGGTCATTAAGAGGATATTAGAGATGATTAATTAGGTCCTCGACATAAGGTGTAGTGATTCAGTAGAGTAATATGCTGGCAGAAAATTGTGAATGACTCTACTGTGTGTGTGTTTATGATTGGAAACTTGTGCTGTAATTTATTTATTGGTTTCTTGAATCAGCATGCTGAAATCAAACAATGGGATGATTGAGGTAACATGAGAAGGATGTAACGAAATTGGTTATTCTCGTTATTAATCTAAAGTCAGCCCGAATCGAACACGCTTGGAAGAAAGAGAAATCGATATTTAACCGTTTGTGATGCTGGACGCAGGAGCTGAGCAATGGAGCGTCCCGATGGGTGCAGCATTCATGCTAAGGTGATCGATACATGATAATGCTTTGGAAGGTGATCGTGTAGTACGAAATAAGGACGTCCGCTAATGGGAGTCGTAGAAGAACGGCTGGACAGGTTTGTCTCCAGGACTGTGGACATGGAAGGGGCTGTACAGGACCAATCAGAAACCGAAACGAGAAACGGCATGGAAACAGTACTTCAGCGGGTGAGCAATTGAAAATGGCCTCGAGGGATTTCTGCAACGTTGTTATCTGTCTTGGCCATGGAGATCTAAGACTAGTGAATTTGTTGAACACAGATACGAGCTACACCATGGGAGCGCAATGATACTAAAAATAGGATCGAGCTTGGGACCGTGCCAGCGGAAAGTCTAAACTCAACCCATGCTTACGCTGTAGAAGAACGGCAAGCTAGTGATTCAATAACTGTACAATGGGCAACATGTGTTGCTCCAAACCTAGCAACATTTGAAGAGCGGAACACAGTGGGAATTAGCGGCCAATATGAGAAGACTGCGGAAATAATTCAACCATCGTTGTGCGCATTAGGATCCGGGGTATACCTCAAGCAGTATCGTTCAGCATCGGAAAAGGATGTAAATGACAACAAATTGGAATTATATGCCTTAGATAACTTAGACGCTAGTGACTTATGTGTCAGTGAATTAGCTGACCATCAGAACAAGTTCATCATATTGCCGGAATGGCCAAATTGTTACCAAGCTCGTGGTCAAGAGACGTTCATCGCACCTCCAACAGACTCGATCATCAATTCAACCACCAGACGAGTTGCCCATCAGATTGAATGCGAGCCAGTTGAAAGTGACATTGAGGTTACGGAGGCGCACAGACTGTTTCTTGCAGACGAATTACTGTCAGCAGGTGTTCACCAATCCCCTTTGCACAATACTTGCACCTATGTGCTAAAAGAACAATTATAATGAATACACTCACAGCTTGCAGAAAAGTCGTAGTCTAATTTGTTAGTCGACGTTTCAAAATTTCAGAATAATTCGCACACGAAAAGTTTGTCTCTAAATTTGTGTCGTTACAGCATCGTACCGATGAAGGCTATTGTACATCGACTTGCAAGCGATTTGAACTTATCCGACAGTTCTGAAACATGTTGGTTCAGCGGGTACTTCTGCTCACTGCCACTTGTACAAATGCAATCGGCAAGAATCAAACCGAAGTCGTAGGGCGGTTAGGCTTGACTAGAATATCCACTTAAGCTCTTTTATTTTCTAATGTGCTTTCAGGCGTTGTCAGACCCTTCAAGTAGTAATACCTTCACAAAATGGTGTAAAATTAAAACAGATCACAAGGATTACGACCTGTATATGTTTGACGCTCTCAAACCAACCTCCCCACCATTACCCTCTCAAGTGCAGAGGAAGAGCCCAGCTCTCGTCGTGGGACAAGAAATTCGGATAACTTTAGAATTGTTTAACGAAGGTAATTGAGCATTAAGTATGCAACATCCTTGGTACAATTACTTCAGGTGATCTTCAAATAAGAAACTAAGTAGCAGATCCATGTATTTTAACCGATTTTCTGAGTGGTGTAATAGTGCAGCCAAAATTTCGTGAGACATATCTTTGGCGTTGATTCCCTGCGTCGCGAGGCTAACTCCACGTAATTAATTGAACCAAACAGACTAATGTAGACGTTGATTTTTTTTGGTTTTTAGGCCAGGGCGTGCTTGAAGAATTCGACTACCCTCCACTTCCAAAACAACCCTCCATGGGCCAATCTAGTAGCAGTCGATGCACCGAAAAGAGAGGTATCGATATTGATGAGAGTGAAGGCATTAGTAGCCAGGCATTAAGAAGGAAGTATCTTGACAGCGAGCATTTCGAAGCACACTCTAGGGTATTATCTACCAGTTCCCTGCAGAACCCTGACAGTGGCCAAATTGACATCAACAGCGCGTTTCGCGCAGAAGTAATAGATGAGGACGAGTTCGAAGAACACCGAAGTCTGGAACAACAATCTGAAGGCAGAATTGAGAATGGTATTAGGTTTCTGAGCCACTATAAAATGGTGAAAGAGCACGAAAATGGTAATGAGGTGAAATTTGGGACAACTGTGCAGGATATTGACCACCAAAACAATAGCAAAGCTAATGGAGATCCCTGTGTATTGGTTGGAAACTATGACAACTTGGGTGAGCTGGAGGACGAGGTCCTGGAGAAGACAATGGGTTGGTTCCCAGTGGAGGAGTCGTGCAATGAGGGCAACGATCCTACCCTTTCAGTGCGTTGGATACTTGACGAACCGCCAACTGCGGCTGATTTACCTCATTTGGAAAGTTTGCTGGAAATCTCACCCTCGAAATTTTGGAGTCCGGAATCTGAGTCAGGAAAACGAACGTCTGTCCACTTCGGATACCTTTGCCGTTCTGAGTCATCGCAATCGCCGCACTCAATCCAATATTTTTTAAACGATTCACCTGCTTCATCTCCGGAGGTGACAAGAACGATCTTTAGTGGCGTCCCTGGTACAATCAATTCATCAAAGGAACCGAAGCACCACTGTTCGCAAAAACGCCCTGCTATGCACGGCGCAATACAGAAAATTTATTCACCATGCATGGATACAGCGATCCCTTGGACTTGGCGAGAATCCATGGAGACAAACATGAAGTCACCTTCCTTAGGTTCTGGTAGAAAATTTGCTCAAGTCCAAATTTGTGTTCCACATGTGTCCCCTGGGTTTTCAGAGGACAAACGTGGGAATCTCACTAGCAGAGAGCAGAATGTGATTTCAACTCCTACTCAAGATCATACCCATCAAGAAACAGGCTGCTTATCGAATTTCACCAAATCAGATGGTGCCGTTCACAGATTGATGTCTCAGCATGGGAAAAACCTAGTTGTAGACTTTCTGAAAGTAGGGCCAACGACTCAGGAAAGGATTGAAGCCATAAGGAACGACACAGAACTCAGAGATACTTTCGTGCCACCGAGTTCAAAATTGTGGGTTCAAGTTGAGAATCCGACAATGCCATCAGATAACATGCGGGATCAATTTTCTGCAAGGCTCTCTGACAAGGAAGGAACGAACGCTTCATCGTCTTTGGAACTCCAGATTCCACAAGGAAACCGATTGACGGGTACTGCTGATGCTCCTCTGCAGCCTCTATCTTCACCCGTAAAGCCTGAAGTCGTACTCCAAGTTCACAAAAATTGCAAACGGAGAAGACATGCGGAATTGCTCCCACTCGCGGATATTTCAAACCATCCGAATTTGGCTGCGAGGTTAAGAGATTCGCTACATGAGAAGCTAGAGTCACAGCTTGAATTTCCAAATACACTCTTGGAATTACTCAATGATGAGCGTCCAGTTTCCGAGCAGTGTCCACAAAATTTGGCTCCAGGTAACGCAACGTGGTCAAGCCCGGGCGTCCCTCGTGTTTCGCGAAAGCGAAGCAGTCGAGTCACAACGCCGAAAGACATGAGACCGAGAGTGTCGAACATGCTTATCGACGATAAGATGTTACAGTCTGCGACAGAAACTCCGATAAAAGACCACTACACTTGTAAAAGAGGAAAGAAGATCACCAAAAGCGCGTTTAAGGAGTTGCAAACGTTCCCAAGAAATGTCAAATTACGACTTCTCATGCCTGACCCAGCTAGCTGTGAGAATGATATGATAGAAATGACGAACCAAGAAGGTAGAAATGTTAAGTCTCCGATCCTAACGAAGGCAGTTAAACCTCTGCGGCTAATAAAGACTAGTCCTGCCAAAGGTTATTCTTGGACCAGGATTAGAACGACGCCTAAAAGCAACGCAGTTGTCAGGTGTGAAACGAACATAGAAGAAAGTGTTACAGGAGAAGAGAGACATGAAGTTAAAGGAAAGAGTCTGTCAAAAGGATCACCAGATATTGAAACGAACAAAATTGCCGTTCTCCGGAGCTCGAAGTACAGGGGTGTAACAAGGTTGAAGTCATCTCTACTAATCTCTTTGAATGTGGTTACCAATTGTTCGTGAAAGAAACATAAAGTTTCAAGTCGCTTGCTTCAAGGAAGACAATCATCTTCCCATTTGTTGTAATCAGTGACTCGGTTTTTAAAAATTTGCAACTGTAGAAGTTTGTCAGCAAAAAATTGTATCGTGAAAGGGACATCGTACAGTATTGATGCTTTACTTTTACAAGAACGCAGGCATCGACACACAGGGCGATTTGAGGCGCACTTATGGGATAACAGCAAAGTGAAGCTTGGGCTTGCGAGAAGAGGGCGACAAGGTTGGTAGTGTACACAACCACATGATTGCGTTTTTCCGCTTCGGCTGCTTGCGCGTAAGAAGTTTATGTGCCATATTAGTAATACATTTATACCTCTGAGTAGCAGCTGATATGTTTCTTTGTGAAAATGTGGCTGGGGTTTGCAACTCCGCTGCCACGACACGGTGCTGATACAGTTTACCTTGGTAAGCTTACGACTCGAGTTGCCACATGCCTCGGGAACTGAACTTGATGCTAGAAATCATCCAATGAGATGAACAGTATTTTTAGAATTTCTTGGTATTCATGGCTGGGATAATTAGAATTCAGTAATAGCACTGCAAAAGAAACCCTACAATATTATCCGATTATCTATCCAAATTTTAAACGGAGAGGTTTCTCTGTGTAATGCGGTCAGTGTTAAGGTACTGTTTCTACAGGAAAGTAAAGATAATCATGAAAGATTTCAGTGTTTGGTTTTATCCTACAAATTTCCTTATGCTATTATAATCCTCTTTTGATGCAAACTGGGGTCCACTACTACTACTGAAGAGGTCTCTATTGCATACTTGTGTGTGATTGGAATGACTTTTTTTTGGCCATTTCCAGGAGCCTACACTGATGAAGAACAAGCTGCAAAAGCCCACGACTTAGCAGCTTTGAAGTATTGGGGCCCTGGTGTGCACACCAACTTCCCGGTATGCCTTGCCACTGCATTTGTCTGAACCTCTTTTTTGAGAATTTCTTTGAAAGACTAATTTCACAAAGAACTGAAATATCTCTTCAATGGCCTTTTGCAATGACAGCCCAGTCTGTATGAGGAGGAGTTGAAGACAATGAAAAACCTAACTAAAGAGGACTACATTCTTCTTTTGCGCAGGTAAGCTCGTAGAAGCACTGGATTATTAGCACCAATTAGTTCATCAATCGTTTCTGTTTACTTAATAGATTAACTTAAAGTATCCTCTCATTTGTAGTCTTTTCAATCACTCTGACCTTGCTCAGTTGTTTTCAATGCTATACAAAACAGGAAAAGTCCCGGGTTCACTAGGGGAATATCAAAATATCGTGGAGTTACAAGGTATGGACAAGAAAAATATTTTGTGTATTCACTTTCGAATATTCTGGTAGCAAACACAGCTATGTTTAATTGCTGATGTGAAAGTATCCTGCAGTCAGAATCTATTAAATGCTTCAGGTATCTATACATGTGTTTGGAAGATCCAGATGTCTGATAAATCTGTTTGAGTAAGCAGGCATCACCAAGAGGGACGCTGGGAAGCCCGCATTGGAAGACACTCGGGCGCAAAGTATCATTACCTAGGCACCTATGGTACGTTTTCTTGCATTTGGATCAACCGAGCATGTGCATCCTCACCTCAAACTCTTGAGATAAAATACCAGTTTGAGCTTATAATATTCATGCTAGCTGCTGGCCAGAGCCTTTTAGGAATACTCTTGCAAATATGGAAAAGATTCAACGAGGATTAATGTTATCTTTGATCTATCTGTGCTTGGTTGAACTGCAGACACAGAAGAAGAAGCAGCCGTAGCTTATGACAGAGCTGCAGTTCTTCACCGTGGACCCAATGCTGTCACGAACTTTGACATATCAAATTACATCAAAAGAAAAACCAAGAACCCCAAAACTGAAATCACTGTATGCCCACCTCAAATGTGATACTTTCAAGATCTAATTGAACAGAGACACATCTCATTGCATTCTAGAAGCGGTTTAGGCACGACCACGCTTCTTTTAAGAAGCAAGTACAAGAATCTATTGAACCTGTGAACTGAGCAAGGGCTATGGATGTCTTCGTGACTACACAACATGGGCCAAGCCACTGGAGTGTCAGAAAGCACAGTACCATATAGTCACTGAAGTGACTAATTGTATGACAACGGTGTGTGGTCAGCAAGGCTGTCCTACTGAAACGTCAGGCTACAATTTTATGCAGCAATAGACAAGCAATACACAAATTGCCACAGATGAATCAGTACCCCAACTTCACTTAATCATGTTAGATAATCCCTTGCTCTCTTTTCAGCTCAGTGTAGGGGGGGGCTGACCAGTTCAATGTATGTGCCCCATTCATTGTGCACAAACTTGATCAACAAAATGGTCCGGAGAAGTGGCTTTAAAATGTACTTTGACAAGCACACGAGCTTAAAAGAGCTCCTCTGGCTTAGAATTGACAGCCATAAGATGTGCAAGGTGTAAAGTCTCTTAAAGGATGAGTTTATTCATTGCAATTCACTATTTGGAGAGAATAAAATTAAAGAGATTATTTTTAATTGTTATTAAAACAAACTATATATCATTAAAATAGTGTGCATTCTATTGTGATATTAAATTGTGAGGTATACAAATGGTCAACCCAACAGTATATTGTTTACATTACAAATATGTAATATTTTTTAAAAAATATACAACTTTTCTTGAAACTTGTTTGTCTTTTTAAGTCTGTTTATCTATTTTCTGAACAAGAAGGAATTAATTCTTATGCTGATGCATTATGCAATGTTAAGATTTATTTGTTGAGATTTGAACTATTGATCTTTTTAATGCAATTGTATTTTTAAAAAGTAAGAAATTGAAGCCAATATAAACTATTACATAGATACACATTGTGTCTAATTTTTGTTGTGTCAATGCAAAATATCAAAGAAACAAGAGAATAAAAATTTAAACACAATCACATAAAATCAAATTGTAACAATGCTAATCAATAGAAACAACAATACATATTGCATTTTTTTTTTCTAGATATATAAAATTCAATGGAGAGAATATAAGTTAATAATGTTTAAATAAAATCAAAAAATCAAAAAATCAAAACAAACAAAATCAAAAAAAACAAAGCACTTGTTATTGAAAAGACAAACCTAAAAAATAAACAAAAATTTGATGAACATTAAATATATATAACTCAAACTTATATATCCATCTTCAAATAATGAAAAAAATCAAATATCAAAAATAGAAAAAATCATGAACAATTTTAATATCTGATTTGACTATCAAATAACAGATATTAGAATTTACAATAATAAATGTTGTAAAAAGAACATTTTATGTTAAGTCATGAACTAATAAACTTTGTAACACTATTGCAATAGCACAAAATAAAATAAAATAAAATAATAAAATAATAATTAGTCCACTTGAATAACATAAATTTTAAATAACACTTCAACAATATAATTAAACTTTCTAAAATAAAATAAAAGGTAAGGTACAAACTTTAAAATAAATTATGGGAACTGCTAGATAAACACCTTCCTTTTGGTGCATGGACACCTTGCAAAAAATGACCAATTCTGATTTTAAATAAGATTTTTAAAAATGTGCATACATATATATTTGACAATGATAAACACTAATGAAACACAATTTTTTATGATTTTATTATCTAAAAAATTAATTTGACAAAGCTTTGCAAGGATAAGAATTGAACACCAAGATAATATGAAGCCATAAAATACAAATGGATAAGGTTGTATCAAAGTTTGGCATTAAATTAATAAATACAATAAGAATCAAAATTTATGAATTGTCATTTGAATTCAAAACTAATTTTTTGTGGGATTTGTATGTGGGGTATTGACATAGTGATAGGTGGGTGTCCACCTAATAGTTTCCTAAATTATTTGCTCATACAAAGTACAAAATCCCACTTATTAAATAAAATGCAAAAATCCCTCCTACTTAGAATGCAAAGACAATTTTATTCTACTTGCAAAAAGATGAGGTTTCATAACTCCAAATATCCTTACACAACCCATTTCAAATCCTAAATTTCAAACCCTAAATGGAGATATTGCACTAGTTTGTCCTATGTCAATGAAGTTGTGAAACATGTATCTTTGTAGAGAAACTTCTGCAAATGATAGATCTTCTCATCAACAACAACAACAAACAAACAAACAATATGTATATATATATATATATATATATATATTAACACCATTAAACCCCCCTCACCCAAAAAAATTACAGTTTGTTCTGATCTTTTATTGTGCAATACAAAAAATGCCCTACTCTTAAGTAATATGGTGAGCATATTGCTTTTAAACCCTACCCGAGTTTGCCGTCAATTCTAATCCCACCGCGAACTCTGCCACAGTTTAGGGCTCAGGATTAGTGTTTAGGGTTTTTGGGTTTCAGTCGACAAGCAGTGTTCGCAACATGCACACAATTCGAATCATTATTTGTTTCCTTCAGGCTCTGTCTGCGCCCCCCAATTAACATTTCTGCCATATTAACAATTATGGGATTGTGTTCTGGACCGGTTTCTTCCCATCTTGCAGGTTTGTGTTGAAGGTCGAAATGGGACGAAGTTATTGAGTGTGGGCTTCGGCAATTTAGAAGATTTGAGTTATGCACTCACAAACTTTCTTTTCCCTTAACAGTAAGCTTCAATTCCAAATCACCTGTTTCAGTGTCTTAAATGTGTGAAATAGATGAAGGTTTGTTAGTATCAGGTGCTGAAGCTCTCTACCGATGAGCTTGTCACCGTCAAATGTCTAGAAACTTACATGCAGCGTAGAGTAAAACCATTACAAGTTCTGCTCAAGGGTGTTGGAATTTGTGTAGTTCTGACATTGCAAATCAGATGATGTTATCGAGCTCAATGCCCCGCAGTTCAGAAGTGAACGCTTGAGCACAACTAGTAATAGTTTTTACACTGTTCGGAATGTTCAGGTTTCTAGGGTTGCGTAAAATGTTACTGGGCACACCTCGTTGAGCGGGCGTGATGGTGGTCAAGGCAGACGAGCGCTTTGGCAGTTTGAGCAGATCACAAAATTTATCAACCTCAGATTCATTGCAAACAATTGGTGCAAAACCTCGCACGAAAATGGGTTTAGTGGCGAAGTTGCACCTTCACAATCGTTGTATCAAAGCTAAGTCTGCAAAATGTGTTTCGAAAAGCACAACTTTGATAAGATACTCAAACTATTATCGGCAAAGTTTGAGACTCTTGAAAAAAGAAGCGACCTCGCTCTTACGATAGGGTTTTGTAGCAAGGCAAGTCGGAAAATTCTCAGGCTGCTCCATCCACAGCTTGTGTGCCACCCCACCGATCTCCAGCTTCTGAGCTAAATTGCGCAGCTGGGTCTCTCCCTTCACCTCCAGCGTAACCTGCAAGGTATAAAACACACTTAAACCACTGTCTAAACGGCATTATCAAAGAGGAGCGACGTTGGTCGCCCTAATTAACAAAATAGATAAATGAGCCATTAGCTGGATCCCCTTCGTAACTATACCGACGTATGAATCTGCATTCAAATGGAATCCCTCCATTCCTCTAAGCACACTACAGCAATAGAGCTAAATTTGATTACCTTATGCATATTATCTAGGTTTTCGCCGGCGCAATACTCAGAGGTCACGGAATCATCTTTGTGAAGCCAGATGGCTGCAACAGCTGCATGGCAACCCTGCGAAATCACACTCCCGAGTGGCCACTTCATTGTGTCAACCAAATCCTTCCGAATCACAATGTATTGAATGATAGGATCGAGATTCGGCACCTCCTCTTTCAAATCCTTCGTGTCACCCGATGCAGCCGCCTCCATCGAGGCTCTCACAGCTACTGAAAATCTAGAAAAGAAAATCGATGAAGAAACCCTATTCTCCAGGCGACCACGAACCCTAGTTGTAGAAGCAAACGGAGACCTGCTCCTGCTGCAGAACCCTGAGAGACCACCAGAAAGGCTCTTGCTAGCTCTATTACCAAAATTAGAGGACCGCCACAAATTGGCAATGCGAGGCAAGAGAGATGCCGCAGGCAATTCAATCATCAGGCAGCGATGGACATTCGGAGATGCAAAAGAATTCTGTACAGCACAAGAGATGAACATCATATGGGTCTCGAGAAACAGGAAAACTGGCTACGTCACAGATTGAAATATGAAAATAGAAAAACCAGTTCAGCTCATCACTCTGAAAGTCCTATCCTTCCAACAGCATTTTTGAGCATGGCAAAGTAGGCTTCAACACAGGATTGAGAATGGGAGATATACCCCAACTACCGAGGGGTCCACGCCAAATTGAGTCCACAAGGATATCCCGATACTAACTTGCTGCGTATCAATATCAGCAGCGTTCGGAGTAGATACCAGCATAGTGATATCAATCGAACAGCGGTGGTCAATATGAACCAGGTTATGAGAAACTCACAAACAGATTTTGTGGAGGGGAATCAGAACGGATGACCGGTTAACTCCATCGTTTCCTGAGTCCGACAATGCTAAGAGCAAGGAAAGCTGGCCCCGCAGGTAGGTATGACAACAGCATCTCCACAATAATTCTTCGTGCGTCACAAGATTGTAGACGGACGGGACCGTGCGCACTCCACTTCTATGACCCTTTTGCGCAACTTTGCACATTGTCGTATTAGTCTGTGCTTTGGATATTCCAACCACTTTTGTTGCTCATAGAAGTGACAAGACGCCCCAATCATTTGCACGAACGCGTGGGGGGTCACTTTCTGTTGACGCAGTACGAGTTGGTCAGTGAACCCCAATTCCTGACTACGCGCACTTATCGCAGATTGAACCCAAAATTTGAACATAATTGTATGAGTGAAACCTAGGTATCGATCTTTCCCTCCGTTATCAACCTGGGTGATAATGCACTCGATGCAAGCAAACAAAGGTCTCAGAGTCTCCGAAACAAGAATGAACATGAACAAGCACAGCTTAATTAGACAGAAATCGCAGAACCTTCACCCAATGGTGCCTCGTGTGTACAGAACAATGTCGTTACGTACTGTGCTTCACCTCCACTTCTGCAAGATTCTAGATTCACACGCTCTTTTTCATGGGGAATAATCAAAGCGCAGAATTCCAGGACCTCTCGAGACTTGGAGTCTGAATAATTGGACACGACAACAGGAAAGGGTTACGAATCATCTCAATGCACGCAAATTTGCAGTAAAGGAAATGTGAACCAGTATTTGGCTTGAAATTTTAGTAAAGATGCTCATGAAACCTGCATCATCTTCACTAAAACACTGGGTTTCATGATGCGATTGTGGTAAACCTCGGGAGCTAAGTTTGGCTTAGCGAAAAGATTTCTGTTCGACTCACTTTTGGATCACTCAGGAAAAGGTAGAATGCAGCATAGAGCTTCAAACTTAAGACAACGCTCAGTCCTCGGTGAAATCACAAGGTAGGTCATCCAACAAGAAGTTTCTGTTCAACTGACAATTGACTTGAGTGTTGGAGGCGTTCTTTTGGCAAACTCAATTCCACTTTTTACAAAGCCACGATGCGGACGAGATGGCCACCGATGCAGAAATGCGAAGGTGCATCGAAAGAAACCATAGACAAGGACAGCGGAATCTTTGACGTAAGTGTTGTACCGTGTTGCTGCCGTGTAATCACAAATCAAGCGTCACTTGCTTGCGTTCTGCACTTGATTGCTTGGCAATTAGGGCTGATAATCTTGTCAATCGCGTCAACGACGTCAAAACCTGTTTCAACGCAAGCAACCCAACTAGGCTCTGCACTTATTTCGAGAATCTGGATACTAATCATTTCACGCATATACGAGAGATACCACGAAATTTTGAGTCATGAACGATGACTTGTAGAGTTGGTCAGAATCATGAGACAGGTGGTTGGCGTATGTTATGTCAGCGGGGATTGTACTGTATTCATGATGAACATGGAAACTTCGATAATGAGCGCTCAATTAAAACTCGAGAAGAAATTATCGCTCATCACAAGGATAGTCGACAAATCTGAAGATAACTGGGGTCACTATTCTGAACTGACCGGAGGAGGCCATTCTCGCCGCCTACATTTTCTTCAGCATGGAGACACGTCTCTGGGGATTATAATCTTTAAAATGATTCAAGAGGTCGCCTTAAGAACGACGATTTCTTAGCTATATGTGCTTGTTTGAGTACTTCTTAAGGCAGCTTGAATTTCTCTAACGGAGCAATCGCAATTTGCGTTGCTTCGGACAATTCCAACCATTGCGGAATCGCTGCAACTCCTTTGTGGGGTGTGAATTCAGGGGCTTAACATGACAGGTTTTGATACATTGGGAGGATTCTAGCGCAAATTAACGATATCTTTATACACAAGCATGGACGGCCTGTCCGTCGTATACGCAATCGTTACAAGCTGCCGTTGAGCAGAAACGTACATTTCAACGCTGAAATTGACGAATGGTATTTAGATACGAAGAGAAGAAACAAAAGTGTTTCAGTAAAGAAACTCATGTAAATAATGGCTGTTTGTAACTTTGGAACCGTGGGCCACCGAATAATTTTACAAAAGCAACGGGATCATGGAAAAGCTGCTTCAAGGCCTCCCGCGGGGACATGGCAATCAAAGAACGTTTCTCCCCATTCAAAACTCGATCTGCGGAGACGACAATCAGTGTGACAAATTCGCTACACGGCAAAACTCTCTGCCATCACCTTTCACTGTAAACCAAAAAAAAAAAAGAGACAAAAAACATGCGGAGATAGAAATCGAGAACTTCAAGGAAACCAAAGCCCTTGGCTCATACAACGATCGGGAATGCAACGATGCTGTTTACGAATGTGAGTGGCACTATTTAGCCTTCTCAAATACGCTTTGGAGCAGAGCGCTTGCGTAATTTTTTTTTTTTAAAATCTGCTGCGACCATTGAAGATGATTAAATGACTTACATCCATCAAAACACACTAGTTGAGTCTACATTCTAATCTCGTATGCCAACAACCTCGTCCTGGTGGCTGAGTGAAAGGACAAGCACTCACAATCCGGCAATTTACTAAAGGTCTCGAATCCCATGAGTACATAATTCTCGCAACATCTCCGGAAATTTTTATCATTCGCTTATCCCGTTTTGCGAAGGGTGCTGCTCCACGTCCACGAGAGCAGAAAATCTCAGTCTCACGTCCTCCTCTCTTCCTTCTTTCCTGGGTAGCAGATTTCTTCATTCATGCTTATGAGGTTTTGTTACACCAAGAGCCACCCCGCAACTGTAGCTGTTTGAGGTTCACAGAATCGTTGAACGAGCCACTGAAACATGGGAAACATTCGATGCCACGCTTCAGTATTGGCGGCTCTTGTGTTGTTGTGCATTGGGCCGATGAGCTGGACTCTCGCAGCTAGAGATACTCCTGTCAACAATCAGGCAAATATTTCTGAATCCCTTCACAGCCTTCATCTGGTCGTCTTCGAAGCATATTGTCATGCTTGTTGAGTATGCACTGCGTCCTGCTAGTTACCCTCGAATTTGGCATCGAAATAGCGGGTCAATGAAAAGAAAGAATTCTTGGACGTTCATGAGACACTGCTGCATGTTATTTAGTTGCTGGATTAGCTGTAAGTTTGCTGAAAGCAACAACACCTCCAACTATCTGTAGCGCGTGCATGAATTTAGCTAACATTTTTGGGATTTGTTGAGGAAGATATGTCAATTCCAAAGTATCTAATTCACGCAATATGTTTTTTGTTTTGTTCTGTGTTGTTTTGTTTTGTTTTCAATCAGGTGTTTAGAGCGGAATTGATATACAGAGAACATCAATCTTCGCCTCTACGATCAGAAACCCTGAAAACCCCCAGTGAAATATTCATCGCAGCTGTGAAGAGGGGTCACGAACGCCGTGCAAGGCTAGCCAAGCACGTCCTTGCTGGAGACCAATTGTTCGAAACTCCAGTTGCATCCGGGAATGGAGAATACCTGATTGACATATCCTATGGAAATCCTCCTCAAAAATCCACTGCAATCGTGGATACAGGAAGTGACTTGAATTGGGTGCAATGCTTGCCCTGCAAATCCTGCTATGAGACACTGAGCGCCAAATTCGACCCCTCCAAGTCTGCAAGCTACAAAACCCTGGGCTGCGGGAGCAACTTCTGCCAAGTAAATATCACAACTTTTTGCTACAACCGCCACTAAAGCAAATGTTTCGCAGTTTTTGTCGACGCTTGTTGCTTGCACGCATTGAGATTTCAATTTTTCACCTGATCGGTGCACCATCCCCTCCATTGTGACGATTCCCATGCCCGGGCTACATACATTGTTGAATTATTTCAGGATCTGCCATTCCAATCGTGCGCCGCAAGCTGCCAGTATGACTACATGTATGGAGACGGCTCCTCAACCAGTGGTGCACTGTCCACCGACGACGTCACCATCGGCACAGGCAAAATCCCCAACGTCGCCTTCGGCTGCGGCAACAGCAATTTGGGCACGTTTGCAGGAGCAGGAGGCCTTGTAGGACTCGGCAAAGGTCCGTTGTCACTCGTCTCTCAACTCGGTGGAACCGCCACCAAGAAGTTCTCTTACTGTTTGGTGCCTTTAGGCAGTACCAAAACCAGCCCCCTGTACATCGGCGACTCAACGCTTGCTGGAGGCGTGGCTTACACTCCAATGCTAACCAACAACAACTACCCCACATTTTACTACGCTGAATTGCAAGGAATCAGCGTCGAAGGCAAGGCGGTGAACTATCCCGCAAATACGTTCGACATTGCCGCAACGGGGCGAGGGGGTCTGATTCTGGACTCCGGAACAACGTTAACTTACCTTGACGTGGATGCGTTCAACCCTATGGTCGCGGTATGACTCTTCCCCTCAAATTCATTCTTGTGAATCACATGTAATCTTCTTATCTGTTTGCAATCGACCACTTGACATGAAACCCTACAATCATTCTCAATGTGCGAACAGGCCCTCAAAGCAGCACTCCCGTATCCAGAGGCAGATGGGTCATTCTATGGGCTCGAGTACTGCTTCTCCACCGCCGGAGTCGCCAATCCGACCTACCCCACTGTGGTTTTCCACTTCAACGGCGCCGACGTCGCGCTTGCACCGGACAACACCTTCATCGCACTGGACTTCGAAGGCACGACGTGCTTGGCCATGGCGAGCAGCACCGGCTTCAGCATTTTCGGCAACATCCAGCAGCTCAATCACGTCATTGTGCACGACCTCGTGAACAAGCGGATCGGCTTCAAATCCGCCAACTGCGAGACGATCTAAGCTCGGAGATTCCCCGCACGGAGATTCCGTCGGTGAAAAGCCAGCCCCTCCCCGATTCCTCCGTCGCAACGAAGGGATGCTTCGTTCGTTCGTTTCACGGAGAATGTTGACATCATTGCCGACGCTGCGGCGACGAGGTATGAATATTTCGTCCGTAGACCGACGATTCTGCTGCCACTGGGTGACGGAAACCACTATTCCTCGTCGGTGGCGTAAGTTGACTAATTTCGTTGTATCATTGAAGTACCCTCACAATTTCGCATGTTGTAAAAAGCTGCATTTCGTGCTCCTTGACTACTTGTGTTGTATAATTTGGATGTAAGTGAGTTGAATGATTTTTTATTTTTTTAATTTTATGACAATTCTATACTGTTGTGTTTGGATAACCTAACAAGAAGAAGGTGCTTTTAGCTCTTGCACGAGCCCCTTATTTGACTTCAAAAGATGTATATATCCATGTTATTGATCTATGAACATGAGACAACATTCTTCATGTTAATCCAACACTACATTTTGATTTTGGTAGCAAAAAAAATTTGTAAAAAACTACCATTTTTTTTTTTTTACAAAAAATAAATAAATCTTAAGACTAATATTGTCATGCTATTAATTAGAGAGTCAAAAGGAAATATTGTCATTATCTGTCTGGTTTGTTTATTATTGATACAAGACTCAAGCACAATTAGAATACTTCACAGTCTATTACTTTAAAAATACCATAATTTTATGTTGAGTTCGTTAAAAATAAATGATATTGTTTTTGTAATACATTCAATGTTTCCCAAAAATAATGTTATAAACTACATAGTTGATTCTGCAACAATAAATTCGTAGAGTGGTCTGCAATGGGATGAAGCATGTTATTGTCAATCTCTACAAATATCAAGCCAAGTTCGCAAACAAGCACATTTCCTTTCAAAACCTGTGCTTTTTGTTATGAATTGATATAAATCATTATTGATAACTAAGTTACAGAATGATTCAAAACTTTAAAGATTTCTTGAACCCATCCTTTCATACAATCTTTTACGTCACGCACATAATTAGGGTTGTGATTTTAAAACATTTCTTGCTAAAATTCATGTACGATTCGTGTTCCCCGTAAATTTTCTATACACAGACATCAAGACATTTTAAAGACCCCACCTTTACTCTCATTTTTAGTTGCTAAAGAACAATCTAAAAAAATGTTCGTCAAACGTTGTTGACATGAAAAACTTCGCAGTGGCTCCCCCTACCAGCCGTCGGATCTTAGACAAGTGTCCAGAGACAATGTCAACAAGTGTCAAGGTCAGGTTGGGTGGATAGCTATTGAATGAAAAACAGTGCTGGTCTGGAAATGATGGTAGGGAACGTGATCGGGGTAACTCACAAATAGTGAGTTTGTAGTCACCTTAATGGTGGCCTTATAGGACACTTGTACAGTGCCATGTAGACAGGCACGTGGTCTATTCCGGAGTAACGTGGACTATTCCACTCTAACTGACGACTCTGGGAGCTCCCATGACCGTGTTCACGTGGACGATGTCCACGTCGGACGAGGTGACGTTTCGGCCCCGTCACGCGTGTGCGAATGCACAGCTGGCGGTCAATTCGGAAAAAAAGTATGTCCTGCCCTCTGCTGACTCACCTCTTGCCGTGGAAGGGGCGGGGTCTCGTTGAATGGATGAATTTGGATGGACAGAAGTAGCTCTGTCATTGACGTTTAGTAGCCCCCTTCCATCACCCCCATTAAAATTAGGGGAATGTTTTGAAAATAAAATGTTAGATATTCATGTCTTATTTTCCTCTTTTTTTTTTGTGCAAATATCCTTTTTTTTGTATTTTGTGTGGAATAAATATTTTTTTATGGTGCATTATATAAAAAGTGTGAATATATATATAGGGAAATGATAAAGCAATCCAAATTTTTACTAAATTGACGCACCTTGGATGAAGAATCATTGCACCATTGCCTCTATTCCCCTTATTTCCATGTTCCTAGCCTTTGCCCACATTTTCAACCCCTTCTCTTCTAGCTATAATCTAATATTCTCACAAGATCCTCAACTTGCAATAGTTCTCCAATACTACTTAGGAAAAACTCCCACAAAAATGCTCATCTTATTTCCTTCACTCCAATACTATAATTCAATGTCCGTTCCAACATTCTTAGCTTTTGCATGTACCGTGGTACCCTCTATATTGCCAATCTTTTTACATTGTCTCCTCCATTGTTTCCTTCACACTTTCTCTTATCCATATTGCTTACGCCTTGCACTACTCTATTCCATCGCCTCTCTACATGCTATTTTTGTGTAGTAACATGACTATATAGTGAAAAATAAAAATAAAGATATTATTATAAAGAAGCATAATAGAAAGATGTAATAAAAAAATAAAGATAAATTATAAAAAGATAGTAATAAATTTAGACTTAATATTGTCTTCTGTAGAAGGAATTTCTATTTACAGTGACTCAAAAAATTATTTCAATGTTGACATATTTTGAAAAGAATGGTGTATTACAGATGAATTGTAGTGAATAATGACACGTGGTCTACATAGCAAATAAAATATTCCTTTATAGCAACCAAATGAGCCCAGCTTGAAAAGAATCTATTTGATAATTACAAAGCTATGACCAATCTAATTTGGAATAGTATTAAAACAATTTTTTGAATGTAATGTTTAATTTTTGGATTCTATCATTTATTCAATATTATAGCATTTTATTATCATCAGATTTATTATGATAATAATATTATTAATATAGTAATATCATTAATGCTTACTAACATTTATAAAAGTACCATTATTAATCACAATTCTTAGTATAGATATATTCCAAATTACCACATTTTAGGACCTTCTAAAATCTTCTACAAATTTTTAGAATCTTCTAAATAATTATAGAATCTTCTAAAATCTTTTAGAAAGTTCCATAGGCTTCTAAAAGCCTCTTTAGACTTCTAGAAACTTCCATAAAAAGTATGAAGGACTTTTGTAATCTTCATTATAGTATAAATAGGAGTCTTTGGAACCACTTTTTCTATCAATTTCATTCTTTGACTTTAATCTTGACATATTTCTTTGTTAGATTCTTGTGTCCCTGATAATTCCTTGAACAACTATGAGACCTATTTTCCACTCTCTCCAAGACAACATCACATCTATTCTTCTTCATTTTCCAAAATCTTATGGCCAAATTGCTTCTAAACTTGGCTGCAATAAAGTTGTTATCTCTAGGCTAGCAAAAAAGGTCACTTTATTTAGAATAATCTTAAATTAAATAAATCAAAGAAACTTATTATAGTAGATGAAAGGACAATCATTTGCCAAATCAAGACTAGGAGGATTTAAAATGGTGTTGAGGTTGCTAAAAACCTTAACAATATTATCAATAATCTTGTGTCAATACAAACCATTTGAAATATTTTTAAGAAATAGAATATGAAAGTTGTGGTGAAGAAATAACAGCCACTACTATCTACTCGCTATTAGAAATAACACTTGAATTTTGCTCTGAAGTACAAAAAATAGACTATCAAAGATTGGACGAGGATTATTTGAAAAACTGAGACAAAATCAACATATTTGGATGACATGGCAGAAAGTGGATGTCAAAACAAAAGAGTCAGTCCTTACTTGATAAGAAGATTCATGAAACAATTAAATATAGAAGTAAAAATACCATGGTATGGAGTTGTATGGAATAGAATGAAGTTGAGAAGATGGCAAGGGTTGAGAGGAGGATAGATGCTAAGCAATTTGTGGAAATTCTTGAAAAAACTTGCTCCTTAGCATTAAAGAATTTGACATTTCTAAGGAGGAGGTGATTTTTTAACAAGATAATGATCCCAAGTATAATTCAAAACTAGCATAGAAGTAGTTTGATCATCATGGAATTAAAGTAATAAATTATCTTGCTCAGTCCTTTGTTCTTAATTCCATTGAACATCTTTGAAGGCATCTCAAACGCTAGTTTAATACTTAGAAGATAAAACCAAAAGAAGTTTGGAAATTATAAAAAAAAAAAAAAAAAGGTTGTAAAATCGAATAATATTAAAATAATTTTGTACCAAAAATTAATAAAAAGTATGCCTAGGAGGTTGGAAGTAGTTATCAAGGCTAAATGAGATCTTACAAAGTACAAATACGTAATTGGATAGTACATTCAAAAAAATATTTCAATATATTCCAAATTGGATTGGTCATAACTCCACAATCATTTGATTGATTTTTTTTTTTCAACTTGGATTCATTTGTTCGCTTCAAAAGAGTATTTTATTTGCTATACTAACTACGTGTTATTATTCACTGCAATCTAATTATAATGCACCATTCTTTCTAAAATATGTCAATATTGAAATAATTTTTTGAATTATTATACTTTGTAAAGGCATAAATGAATAAAATTAAAGTAAATAAGATAAAAAAAATTGATATCAATATGTTTAAGTGAGATTTAGTACTAGATTAAAGTAAAATTTATATTAAATTATCAAAAATTGATATCCAAAAAAGACTAGTTGTCAATCTAGGTTGAAATCAAATCTTGAGGTATAAAATCGTACACCTATGGTAACTCTAGGATTCTTTTATAAATTGGAGAGCAAGATTTGAGGAAAAAATTGAAGAAAATTTTTGAATATTAGTTTCATATCATTTGAATTAATATTGAGTTTTTGAATAAGTTTTAAAATTAGTAATGTACTTGGTAGATTTAGATTTTGAGAAATAAAAATATGTTTATAAATTTGAGAATTTCTTGAATTTTATTCTATATATATAGGTAAAAATTAAGAAATTTATTTTTGTACTTTTTGTGAATGTGTGTGAAAAATTTGGAGTAATCAAAAAGTTGGATTGAAGTATATGAGGATTTTTGTGGAGAATGGTCTCAAAAATTTGAGATTTAGGATCAATGAGTGATTCCAAGATCTAGCAATATTTGCTTATTTGATTAAAGAAAAATTAGACATGGAAAATTAAGACTCAAATATCTATACACATCTCAATTTTTAGAACAATTGGATAGTTTAGCAAGGAAAATTTGGTATTAAAAGATTAATATTTAAATCAAAGAAGAAAGAAGGCCAATGACTAAGAGGTTTTGAAAGATTTTCTTAGTATTGATATATTTAATCTTCTTCTCAAAAAAAATTACTTATTCCTTATTTAGTTTTTGTAAGGTATGAAACTTGAGTCAAAATCAAAGGTTCAATTATTAGTTATTGAGTTTTTAATCTACTATAGGAATAAATTTTTTTTTTTAAGATTTAAGAATTAATTAAAGATATATTAGGATTGATTTAGAATCTAAGATTTTATTAGAATTTGGTTAGGATGCGATTGAAATTTAAGATTTTATTAGGATTTAATTAAGGCTTGATTAGGATTTAAGATTTATTCAGGATTTATTTAGGATTTAAG